CTGAGGGATGGAGCAGCTCCCCGGGCTCTGGTTCTGCCCTCGATTCCAGCCCAGAGCCCGGGGGGTTGCGGAGCTGGAAGCGAAGGCAGGGTTTGGAGCTGTAGGAGGGAAAATTAAAAGAAGGAAGAAAGTAGACAGGAATTTTGTCTTTTACCCTGATCTGAATTCAGAGATTTGTGGCTTTTTTGCTGCTGAAATGCTGCTGCCAGGGAGATGTTTCCTCTCAGGGACGGGCGTGAGGAGAGAGACCGTGGAGACTTCAGCAAGCCCAGCACCTGCCTCAGCTCCAGCTGCCCTCAGCGTGTCCCTCAGCATCACCCAAACCCGACAGGAGGGTCCTGGTGTGCAGCAGGCTGAATCTGTTACCCGCTCAGGGAATTAATCACCTTCCTCAATGAAAAAAAACACACTCCTGAACTTTTTTGGAGTCCCCTTCTCAGCCTGGCTGCTGCTGAAGCTTTGTCTGCAGAACTGGAACCGGTTGTAGGTGTCCCCCAGCTGCTCCCCCACCTAGGGAGGGGGGCTGGACCACTGGAATCTCCCCTCCACTCTCAAACACTAGGCACAGATCCTGCTCCAAGGGTAGTTTTTGTCTCTCCTGTCTCAGTATTATTTTGCAGATAGTTATTTTGGGGTTTGTTTTCCTGTGGTCCCTCTGTGCCAGCCCAGAGAGTTCAGCTGGGACAGGAGCTGTTGTGCTGCAGTGGTGGCTCTTACAGCACCAGTGGGGATCCAGGTGGGTTAGCCAAGGGGAGAACACTAGCAACGTGACTAAATCTGAAGTAACTTTCCCCATTATAACTGTCCTCTGAACTCTGAAACAGCTGCTCACTTCAGGTACCACTCTGACCTTCTCTTCTGAGGAGCATGTGGCTGCAAACTCTACATTGCAGTTGTGCTTCAGGTTTATACTCCAGACCTCCCATCACTTGTCCTCTGTTCCATGGCATTCCCCCTCCCCAGTCCCCCACACCTTGGTGGCAGGAGCCCCAGGGACTCATCTCAGCCACCTCCTTCCCAGAGACCCAGACCTCCAGGGACAGCTTTCACTGACAACTCATGTCCTCGCTGGCAGCCTGCCCTGGTGATTTTGGCAGCAGCACCTTCAACCTTCAGTCCCATCAGTAAAAGGCTGCCCAGCTATGTCTACTTTTGTTGACAGTCATCTCCAGCATCACCTTCTTCCTCCCCTCAGCCTTCCTGGCTCTGTTCCCTGCTGCAATTCACAGTCTTGGTAAGAGATGTTGCTCACATCTCTGTTGGCCCTGATTTGGGTTTTATTTTCTGCTGGAAATGCATAGGACTCAGACCCTGCTCTCAATTGAACCACCTTGAGAGGGACAAAGTCACCAAAGGTTTCCATGTGTCTCTGGTTGCCCACTGAGGACACCGCTGACCTCTCTTCTCCTGTTCACTGAGATCTGCCAGTACAAAGCAGCACAGCCCAGTTTGCAAACAGTGCCCAGCTGGTTTTCTTCTAAGTTTGGGGTATTTTGGTTGTTGCACAGTCACTCCTCAAAAATTGGACTAATTAAAATAATTACTGCAAAGCGCATTAATTATTTTACTTATTTACTTATAGATCTTCTTGGTGAGAGGGCAGAGAACTCTGCTCTCTCTGTTAGTGTCCAGATAGGGCTGTGGCTTCAAAGGTCTCCAGTTCATCCTCCCATGGAGCGGCCAAGGTGCCACCCATTGTGTCTGCACAGCAAATGCAGGAGGCAGAGAAAAATCATGACTTCATAGTTTACCTTTTATTTTTCCAGCCTGGCAATCCAACTCTCCAGAAGTGCCGGGGAAGCATCTCCAGATCAGAGGAGGCAGGAGATGGAGCTACAGACTTTGCCCCTGCAAGCTGAGGTGGAAGGAGGCTGAGAGATGAGGAAGACCAGGCACTCCTCGTTGCCCCGGAGCTGGGTGGGGCAGCAGCACCCTTTCCCTTACGGGGAACCAAGTGCCTGTGTGTGTCCTGGTGGTTGTTTTGTCCTCCTGGGGAGCCCATCCTCATAACGCTGTGGCCCTTTGGTCCCTGCCCCACCATGCACCCCTGGGTGCCGAGCGCCGCCGCCACGCAGGACGCGGTTCAGTGCGTGGTGCTGAAGACCCACCCCTGCCAGGAGTGTGGCAAGTCCTTCAGCAAGAAGGGCAACCTGAAGAGGCACCAGCGGATCCACACGGCAGACGAGCTCTTCGCTTGTGGGGAGTGCGGGAGGCGCTTCACCACCCGCGGCCACCTCAGGACCCACCAGAGCATCCACACAGGAGAGAGGCCCTTCTGCTGCGGGGAGTGCGGGCGCCGCTTCCGCCTGCAGATATGCCTGGCCGCCCACCAGAGGACACACGCCAAGGGGGGTCCCTTCCTCTGCGCCCACTGCGGCAAGAGCCTGAGCACAAAGATCTACTTCAACATCCACATGCGCACGCACACGGAGAAGAGGCCCTTTGCCTGCACCGAGTGTGGGAAGAGCTTCGTGAAGAAGGGCACCCTCACGGCCCACAGGGAGGTCCACAAGCGGGAGAAGCCTTTCAAATGCCCCGACTGCAGTAGGTGCTTCGGGCAAAGTGCCACGCTGCTAGCCCACCAGAAGGTACACCTCCGAGGGGGGCCTTTCATCTGTACCGAGTGTGGGAAGACCTTGACCACCAAGCGGTATTTCAGTGTCCACCAGAGGAACCATGCTAAGCAAAAGACACTTGAGGGACACATGAATGGTGCGTCTCTCCAGGTCATTCAGATTAAAGAAGAACCTGATTTTGCCTTCGTGTCAGAGGAGAATACGTTGGGGAAAATGTCCCATGAAGGAGAAGTAGCCCAGGGGTGTAGCATACCTAGAAACTCATCTAATCCAAAAATCCCTCCTTGGAAAATCCAGATGAAGGAGGAACCACAATCACCCAGTGATGACACAGCAGACATTACTGCAATAGCCTGCGGGAAACTTTACATCAAGGAAGAGCCACCAGAAAACCCAGACTATGGAAAGGTCTCACGGATGGCTTTACAGGGGAGACAGCTTAAAAAGGAAGAAGATGCTGATGGGCAGCATGTACAAGAAGTCTCCATGGCCAGTAACCAGGTGCTCCATGTGAAGGAAGAACCACAGGAAAGCGTTGCATGTGGGACGCATTATGGGCAGAAGCCAAACCTCAGTGCCATCCAGAGGATCCAAGTGAAAGAGGAACCTGGCGTGGAGGCCAACCACCAAGTGACCCAGAGCCCAAAGAAGAAGCAGAAAAAATGCTATCAGCCCACCAAGGAGGGGATGCTGGAGAACCAGGAGAAATCCATGTCCAAGAGAGATCCCCCAGCAAAAAGAGCTCCCAAGGGTGAACGGCTGTTCCCCTGTCCTGAGTGTGGGAAGGGTTTCAACCAGAAGTCGAACCTGACGAGGCACAGGAAGATCCACACGAGCGAGGGGCCGTACAGGTGCGGCGAGTGCGGGGAGAGCTTCCGCATGCACCGCAAGCTGACCCGCCACCAGCGAGGCCACCTCAGCGAGCCCTTCAAGTGCCCCGAGTGCGGGAAGAGCTTCACCCAGAGGTCCAACCTCGTGCGGCATCAGAGGATCCACACCAAGGAAGAGCCCTACCAGTGCCCCGAGTGCGAGAAGACCTTCAACCAGAAGGCCAACCTCTTCCGTCACCAAACGATCCACGTCCGCATGGGGCCCTGCAAGTGCACCAAGTGTGGGAAGTGCTTCCCCCAGAAGCGCCACCTGATCAAACACCAGCTGCTCCATTCCAGAGGTGGAGCCTACAAGTGTGGGCTCTGCGGGAAGCGCTACCGGCTGAAGAAGTACCTGAGGAGGCACCAGAAGATCCACGCGCGGGAAGGAGCTGCTCCCTGTGCACAACGGGGGGAGGCCACAAGGACCAGGGGTGGACAGCATGGCACTGAGCAGACAGCTCCAGCCCCCACGGCCCCCGTGAAGAGTGAAGAGGAGAGCTGAGTGGGTCTGCTGCCTGCTCCTGGGGGAAAGTCCTTCAGGAGAGGGGAGGGATGGAGGCAAATTTTGCCAGCCTTGTGGGTGGGGTATCTGGGGGTGAGGAGGTCAACCTGAGGGGACAGGGAGGTTGAGGGGGCAAAGCACAGCTGGAAACTGGTCCTCTGCTGCTGTTAGAGTACAGCCCTTGGGGTGTCACCTGCTCGCAGCTGTGGGATGGGGCTGGAGACACAAGCCTCCTCAGAGCACTCTTGGAGATGGAGGGGTAAGAGCCTGGCACCCTTTGTAATGGTATCCGTGTGCCTCTAAAGCCTGGTGAAACTGTGGATGCCAAAATTGTCTTGGGTGGGCAACAGATAGCCAGAAGGACCAGGCAGGTGTTATTTTTATTACATTACTGAGTTTCTGAGAAAGCTGAGGGGAACCTCTCCTATATCTAGGCAAGGGTTTAAAGCAACAGCCAACTCTCTTCTCCTTCATGTAGCTCTGATCCACACCTGGATCCTACTGGGCTGATAAACCCTAGACAAGGGGTTGGTATAGATCTGGGAGAAACTACTGCCAGCCACACAAGGGGTTTAAGCCTTGGATGTCCAAAATGGGGCTCACAGATTGGCTTATGTCAGATGCCTGAAAGTAAGTTATACAAAACAATGGTTCTTTTCCCAAAGCCAGCCCAGAGGCCAGCAGATTGTGTTCTGGTTTGTGCCCCCACAACCCCACTGCGTGGATGTGAGTGAGAATGGCTTTTCTTAGCATCAAGCTTTACATCTCTGATGAGCAGTTGGCTTTGCCACCACAAGTCCCAGAGACATCACTGACTTCATCAGCTTGAGGGACACTGGGGCTGGTTCTCAGCCACCTGCTTCCCTACCTGTTACTGTGAAGCTCTTGGATAATGACTTTATTAGGCATGATTTAAGGAATTCAAACCAAG